GTATTGGCTGCACCCTTCCCAGAACCATCCAGAACCACAAACCCAGGATGGACCGCGACCCCTCAACAGGACACCAACCGCAGGAGTCCAGGGCCATAATGAAAGATTACAGAATCACAGTGGCATTTTTCCTGGTGTTTTTAATAGAGAGGTCACAATCCAATCAGAAGGAACTGGCAAAGGGGCCACCTCTCTGGGGTGCCTGGGACTCTTCATGCTTCCAGACATCCACCACCACAGTTGATTCTGGGGAGGGAGGACTCGGGCTGCTGTGTGCAGATTGTCAGGGCCCGGGAAGTCCCCGTGCCCTTCCACACACCTCATCTACTGATTCATCTCTTGATGAGCTGGCCTCCTACCTTGCTGATCTGAGGCTGGCCCTGATGCTGTGCACAGCACACAGAAGGGAAACGGCCATTTGGAAGCACAACTGGGGGGTAGTGTTGGGTCTCCCTGTTCAACAGCCACTAGTACATGCTGCGCCACCCAATCTCCTCTTGGGTGCTTGCTTCCTTGAGTCTCCAGAATTGGAAGTCTGGTTAGGGCAGTGGAGTTTCCCACTCATCTTGTGGTCAACTGCAAGGCCCAGCATCTGTCGTTGACTAAGCCCATCCTTGGCAGGGCCGTCACTGGTTCCTTGGGCAGGCCACTCTTTTTTTAAATGCGCTTCACACACTCCAAGGTTACAAAATTATTGTGCATCGTGGTTGTTTCTCTGTGTATCTTGTTTCCTACACTGAGCATGAGCGGCTGTGAGTCTCGTCTCTTGCTGTACTTTCTGCGTGGCACAGTGCCTGGCACACAGTCCTAGCACACAAGTGTGCCATGCTCACATGGGACACCTTTGTTCACCAAATTGCCAGTTGGCAGAGCCCACAAAAGAACAAATGGGTAAACAGCATTTTATCAACGTTTAAGACTCAAACTCTTCAAAAAAACACGGCGAGGAAAACGGAAAAAGACAAACGGTGGGGAGAAAATATTTGCGAATCACGCAACAAAGGCCTTGGACCCAGAATATGTAAAAAGCTATCACAACTCAATAACAAGGAAAAAAAACAAAGTAGAGAGAAGATTTTAAACAGATATCTCACTGAAGAAGATATTCATGTGATTAAAAAAACATGTGAAAAGATATTTGACATCGTTCATCATTAGGAATGTGCAACTCCAAGCCACAGAAAGATACCTACACATCCGCTCATTAAAAAAAAAAATCAACAATACTAAATGCTGGTGAGGATTTGGGTAAGAAATCACTTGTGGAAATGCAAAATGTCACAGTTACTTTGGCAGATGATAGTTCCTCATGTTAAACATACATCTCCCACACCACCCAGCAATGGCATCAGAGAAGAAATAAAAACTTAAGTTCACACAAAACCCTGAGTGCAACTGTTCGTCATGGCTTTCTTCATAGTTGGAAACAACCCAAATGTGCTTCACCTGGTGCATCCATGCTTAGAACACCCCTTGGGAATAAAGGAACCAATACTGATATATGCAAAAACACAGGGAATCCCAAATGCATTTTGCTAAAGGAAAGAAGCCAGACCCCAATGGCTGTAGGGACTGTTTTCCATTCTTAGGACAGTTTGGGAAAAGCAAAACCAGAGGAGACAGAAAAAGAGCTCAGCATTTGCTACGCCTGGGGGAAGCTGCTGGAAAGGGGCACCCAGGAATTCTAGGGGGTGATGGAGCTGTTCTTGATCTTGGTGGCAGTGGGGATTACACAACTGTGTTGGCCAGAATCCTCAGAATGGAACAATACAGAGCAAATTTTATTGTCTGTAAAGTGTACCTCAGTGATCCCGACTTTTACAAGTGCTCTAATGTGAGTTGGGGGCTTGTCTATGAACGTGGCTAACAGGGGCCTGGGGCCACTCCTGAGGGAGTAGAAGCCTGGCCTGGGCCCTGAGGCCCAAGACCACCTCAAATGGAAACGGCAGCTGGGTTCCTCTCCTCTGGCCTCCTCCCAGGAGGAGACGGAATGGAGCCGATGCTGGGGCTGGGGGTGAGTTTCTCCACTCTGGATGCCCTGGAGGCTCAGAAGCCAGGTGCTGTCACTCAGACCCCTTCCTGTGCTCCTGAGGACAACACTGTGCCCAGACAGCCTGTGCTGCTCCACCACAGGGAGAGGCCGGTGACATCTGTCACCAGGGCAGGCCTGGTGCCCCGGAGCCTGAGCTCTGGTGCTTATTAGCTTCCCAGCTTATGGCCCTTTGCCCACAGAGGCCAAGACACAGAGTAAGCTATTTTGTCGATCAAAATTGTCTGATATTTCTCAAAGAATTACTTTGAGAAATGCACACGACAGGCAGTGCACCATCCTGACCTCTTGGAAGCTGCAGCTCAATGGCACTAAGCACGCTCGCCTGGCTGTGGAGCCACTACACCACCCGCTGGAGCCGGCATCTCCCAGGCGGGAACCGACCTCGGAACACCAACTCCCACCGGCCTCCCCAGCCTGGCACACGCTGTTCTACTCTATGTGTCTGTGAACTTGACCACTCTAGGGACCCGTCAGAGTGGGGTGTCCCTCTCAGCACCATGTTCCCCAGGCCCATCCACGTGGCAGCCAGTGTTGGAGTCCCCTCCTCCTTCAGACAACGACACGGTGTCCCTCCGCACACCTACACAGACACAAGGTGCTTTCTTTAACACTCCCTCCTGGCTTTGCACAGCTCCACTATTGCTGTGTCCTTCCTGGGAGACTGCCAACCCCACCAACTCCACCATCCTCCTCTGTGGCCCCGGGCCAGGGCCCAGCACCAGGAGCAACTGATGGACACACGGCTCCTAAACATTTCCTGGGGACACCCCTGTCCCTCCTGGTCAGGAGCTGTCTGTTGTAGCCTGTGCCAGTGCTGGTGACTTCCTTCTGGTCTCTGGATGTGTAAGGGATGCCAGGACATGGTCACAGGACCCAGGACCAGTCAGCAGGCCCGAGGCAGGGAGGGGCGGGGGGAGTCAGACATGCTTGCCCTCCCACAGCCAAGTTTCCGATGTGCTATCTGAAAAGCCCTGCCAAGGGTAATGTGACATCTACATGACACCCGTGGGGCTGTCGTGGTGACATAACAGGAGGAGGGGGTGGGGTGTGTCTCTGGGCATAGAGCATGCTGCTCCGTGCAGTCCAGTGACTCTGTGTTGTGTAAATTAAAGCACTGGTCACCTGTTCCTCCTGGTCACGGCTCAAACCTGCTCCCTCTGCCCTGACCATAAAGTCACAAAGTCTGCCACCTCCAGCCAGGGTGCTTCTCCACCTTCCTTTCTGGTCCTTTCCCAAAGAAATCCATGATGAAACGCCTGTGGGCCTCCTTGTGGGGAGACGGCAAGATGTCCAGTGTGGATTATTTTGAGAGACCCCCAGAGAGGACAAGCTGGGACTGCTAGTGGGCACCTGCCGCTCTTCCTGGCCTTGCCCATGCAAATGCTCCTTCATGACTCACTGGGAGCAGCCCTGCACGGATGCCATGCCAGGGCTGGACTGTGTGGCCCCTGCCCCCCTCCAAACTATTCTGCAAGGACTCTAATAAACTCCAGCGCTGTTGCCAGTTAGGCATGATTTCCACCTGGGCCTCAGTTCATGATGGCCGAAAGGGACAAACAGATCTGAGCTCAGTACGCGGGCAGCACCACCAGCTCAGCCAGCTGCCCAGCTGCCGGCTGGGCAGCTTTAGAGACTGAGTGAAGGTGGCTATCTTCGAAGTGGTCTGGGCAGCAGCTGTAAGGCTGGGTCCCAGCCTGGCCCTTAGTGCAGGTGCAGGGACCCCTGGCCTGCAACCTCAAAATCAGGCCCACTTGGCGGTTTTAATGCCCTGTAGAGAGGTGGAAACCACGGGCATGATTCCTCTAACAATCAGCACAGCAAGAACATCCCAGGATTCCCCAGGGAGAGGAAGTGAGCCCACCAGTGTATACGTGACACCACAGCTTTGGGGTCCTAGGTGTGCCTCGATGCCCACCCGCGTTGCCCAACAACCCTGAAGATGGGCTTCAGGGCTCTGGCCTCACAGTGGAGCCCCCTCCCAGCCCTGGCAGGCTGCCAGGAGCCTAGCTGGTCTTTGTTCTCTTCACCCGTGAATTCCTCCTCCTCCTCCTCTCTTTTCCTTTTTCTTTAATATGCAGAGCATGACTCTGACAAGGCGCAGTCACACTAACTGTGCTCTTGGAGGAAGCTGTCTGTGCACCTGACCCTGCTCTCCATTGTGCGGCAGCCTGGGCAGGGGAGCAGCCAGCTCCAGACCAAGCCGTGTCAGGGAGCGCAGGGCTCCCCAGCCGGGCTCAGGGATAGCCCGGCCAGGATCTCACCCTGGTGAGGTGAAGTGGCTGCTCTGGTGGCCTGGGGCAGGTAGGAAAGTGGGGGGCCCTGGCCTGTATGTCACTCAGTCCTGAATATCATGGCTCGTCTCAGAACCAGGTCTTCTTTTTTTGGTCTAAACATTCCCCTAAAAGAGACCAACTAGCCCCCTAATTACAAAAGGTTTCACGCTGTTCCTCCTCAACTCAACCTTCCACCTGTCCTGTCCAGCGTTTAAAACCACAGGGTCTTGCATTTTAAAACCTTGGGCTGGTTTTAAAACCTTTGAAACCTTTGAGATGCAGGGGTGGGTGGAACTTGGCAAACCTCAGTTCTCTTTTTAAGTCAAGTAGATTCCAAGGCACCAGAAGAAAAGGGCTGGCGGGGGCGGGTGGAAGGCAGGGGTGAGGCAGAGGCCAGCCGCGCTGTCTCCACACAGGTCCTCAGGCTGGGAAGCCCAGAGCCACAGGCTGCTCTCCTGAGCTGAGGAAGCCTTCTCCTTGGAGCCTGGTGGCTGCCACCTGCAGGCTCAGCATCCTGTTCTCTCTCACTGGCCACTAATTCTTTGTGGGAGAGATGAAAACATGGGCTGGGCTGTCCTTGGGGGGCAGGTAGACCCAGGGGCAGGGTGGCTGCAGGACGGGATGTCTGGGTCAATGGGAGGGAAGTCAGGCAGCGTGGGTGGGGGAGGGGCTTCAGCCTGGGGAGGGGTACAGAGCTGAATCCCCAAGGACTTGTGAGAACCAGTTGACAGGGCTCCTCATGTGCAACCTGGGAGACAAGTTGGGAACAGGGGGGCCTGAAGTGGTCAGAACACAGCATGGTGCAGCTGCTTGTGGGGGGGTCTTGCCTGTCGGGGGCTGGCAGTGGTGGGTGGGTGCACTTAGGAGCACGGAAGGTGGCAAGCTGTGTCCTGGGTGTGCGGGGTGACCTGGCCAAAGGGCCACAGCAGTCACCTGGGTAGAGACAGTAAGAGCCTGAATTGAGCCTGAACCTGGGCTTGGGGTGGTGGGAAGATAGATGTGAGGGTTGAAGGAGGGGAACCCCAGTTTCTGGCTTGGATAGTTGGATGGATAACAATGCCCAACCCTTATGGGTTCCTCATGACAGGGTGACCTCTGACTGCTGTGGGCAGAGGGCAGGGATCCAACATAGAGGGTGACATGGGAGGGACAGAGGTAGGCGGGTGTCGGGAGCAGCATCCTGGAGAATCAGAGCCCTATCCCACAAAATGCCACAAAAATGGGGCTTCTCTGCACCTAGGCCTTTTACCTCATTGACCCAGCAGTTCAAGGTCACCAGAATAGGGACCGATGAGCACAGAGGGTCCGGCAGACCCAGGCTTCAAGGAGCATGTCTGCAGGCCTCTCTCCTGGGCCCCCATGGTGCACAGGCGGATGGTGTGTCCCGGGGCAACGCAGAAGGATGTGCGGGTCTGGGTGTTTCCCCCCTCTAACCCCCCATGAAGTGGGTGCTGGCTCCCTGTGCCTCAGGTGCTGCCCACGGAGTTCTCCTGCAGCTGGGTGGGTATGCCCCTCGGCACCAGAGAGTTTCCTTTGTCCACAAGCTCTGGGCCACCTGAGAGGGGGGAAGTCCCCCCGTTTTCTGTCCACCAGGGGATAATTCTGAGGCATACTCAGCCCATAGGTCAAAAGGATCCAGTGAGGCTGAGCTCCAGGGGTCCACACGGCCACCCTCTTAGCAGGGGTGCTTCTGGGGCTTTTCTTGCTCTCCGTTCCACTTGCCCATCCCTCAATGTCCTCACTGCGGTCATCTCCCAAACAAACCCCCTGCCCTGAGCCCTATGCCCAGGACCACTTCGGAGGGAACCCACATCTCAAGCAGGGGGACAGATGCAGCAAATACCGGCACCAGCCCCTGGCAGTCCTGTCCAGACCTGGGACTTGGCCCTTCGGCCCCCTCCACAGCACTCAGAGGTGGAGGTGCCATTGCTGTGAAGACTCATCTCTGCAATCGGCTCACCTCATTGACGGGCTGCACGCTCTACAGTGAAAACGAATGACAAGCCTCAGTGGTCACCAGCAGTTCAGTGAGAGAGTGGAGGACGCCACCACATCAGGATGACCTGCCTGCAGTTCCCATTCCTAGGTAGGGGTCTGCCTGAAGTCACTGACATCCCCCACAAGGCCGCTCCCCGCCTCTGCTGGCTGAGGCCCAGGAGACAGGAGACAGGGAGACGGGGAGACAGGCAGAGGCTTCAACCCCGGGGCTGAAATGCCGACTTTCCCTTGGATTGAAGCACACCTTGAATCCTCTTTGGGAAAAAAAAAAACGTTCATAAAGAAATGAAAATTAGGGCTGGGGATGTGGCTCAAGCGGTAGCGCGCTCGCCTGGCATGCGTGCGGCCCGAGTTCGATCCTCAGCACCACATACAAAGATGTTGTGTCCGCCGAAAAAGCTAAAAAATATTAAAATTCTCTATCTAAAAAAGAAAGAAAGAAACAAAAATTAAGTAGGATATGAAGCCTGGTATCTAGAAAAAATGCTCTTGGCCATCAGAGGATGGAGTGGAGGAGGAGCGGCGTGGGTCTTGGAAGTGGCTGGACTTGGAGAATGATTATAGTTGAGGTAAAATGGAGGGTGGCCGGGGAGTGGGCAAGAGACATGGTGGAAGGACAATGGCCTGCTATATGGACTGTCACACAGTGGTCCTCCCAAACTGCGGAAACAGGAAGCCTCAATATGAGACTTTGAGACCTGCCGATATTTTACTCATACAAGATTAATGAAATAGCTCCCCTGAAATCTCGCAGTGCAGCTCTGAGCAATGTGGCTTTTGTCTTAGTACTTAGTAGGAAACAGGTCCTGGAATCATCATTGCAAATGATGTTTTCTTCTCCCACAAGGACAGTGTGAGGTGACTTCTACCAGCTCCCTCTCCTGCACCCGAATATTTTAAGCCCAATGAACAGGGAAGAAACATAAGCTAGGTTCGGCTCTGGGCACTGGGAACAGTGAGAGGGGCGGAGAAGGGTTCCAGCCCCTGTGGAGCTTAGAGTTTTGGACTCTGCTCCCAGGAGTGATCTGAGGACTGGCAGCCTGGACTCTGCCGGGCGTAAGTGTGACATGCAGACCCCAGCACCCCCAGGGCTGTGGCACCTGAACCTGACCTTTTGCAAATGCCCCCAGTGACTCACTCCTGCCAACTGTAGGCCAGGGAGCCAGCATTTTAGCCAGAACCAGAATCCCCTGCTTGCTCGTTAGACCGCAGGTTTTCAGGCCCCATATCAGAGGTCCAGATTTTGTATCTGGGTGAGCATCCAGAAATTTGCTTTTCTAACATGTTTCCAGGTGACCCCGAGGCTGCTGGTCCAAGACCCACACCACACCCCTGGGCCACTGGCTCTGAGGATCATCTGTGTTCCAGGTAAAGACTGGGACTCCCTGAGCCACGCGTCCTGGGGCCTAGGCGCAGCTTGCTGGGCAGCATCTGGGCCACAGCTGCTTCCATTCCCACCCCCGTGAGCTCCGTCCAGGGAGAGTCAGGATTTGTGACCAGCCCTAGGTTGACCCTCACACTCTTCCGACTATACCTATACCTAGCCATCCTGCCTGGGAACACCAGGAGGGGTCACACAGCCTGCCCTGGGCATTTCCAAGAGGGCCAGTTTACAAAGCCTGCAGGCAGCCTGGACGGCCAGTGGGCATGCCATCCCTGCCTGTCCTCTTCCTCCCTCCTCTGTCGGGTGGGAGCTGGCCCCTGCCCCACTCCTACTCCTCGGGGGCTTTGGTGCAGAGCAGCCCCACTGGGCCAAGGGTGCCGCTGAATATAAATGCTGAATGGTTGGGAGCCTCCCTTCCCTGGCCTTCACTGTGCTGTTCCGGAGGCAGCCACTAGGCACATCTGGCTATTTATAGTTATGATTAAATAAAATTAAGCATTCAGCTTTTTAGGTGCTGTTAATGGGTTGTGTTGTGTCTCCCTAAAAAGATACTCAGAAGTCCTCACCCCCAGGACCTGCCAATGTGATCTTATTTGGAAATTGGGCCGCTGTAGCTGTAATCAAGTTAAGATGAGGTCACACTTGGTTACCCTCATCCAGTGACCAGTGTCCTTATGAGAGGAGGACACAGACACGGACGGGGGCAGAAGGCCATGTAAAGATGGAGGCAGAGATTGGAGTGCTGTGGTTTTATGTCAAGGAACTCTAAGGCTTGCCAAGAAGTGCCGGAAGCTAGGGGACCGGCATGGAGCAGCTTCTTCCCCGGAGCTACAGGAGGAACCACATTTGGACACTCTGATCTCAGACTTCCTGCCTCCAGGACTGTGAGGCAACGTTTCTGCTGTTCCTTGCCACCCAGTTCATGATGCTGTGCTGCCTCAGGCCTGGGAGCGAATCCGTCACCACGTCCCTATTTCTGGCGTTCAGTATCCAGGGGTACCAGGTTAAACAGCACAGATAAGGAACACTTCCGCTTTGCAGACCATTCGATTGGACAGTGCACCACGGCATGCATTTTATAAGAAAGAAGCAAAGATCAACAGATTTTCAGAAACAGTCGTGGGGTAGCCCGATCTCATCTTCCACAGTCTTCATATCATTGCTCTCGGTCCCTCATCATCAAAGGGAAACCAAATGGTCCTTGAACATTGTCCCTAACAAGGGGAGCCGACTCTGACATTTAGGCCAGCATTCTCATCGTGTGTATAGGAGGTAGCCGACGGGGTGGGTCCACCCTGAACCTGAGACACCGATCCACAGAATGAGGCTGCTCCAGCATCCTGGCGGGGGTTGGCACCCATCTGCTCGCCTTCCTTATCTTTTATGCATGCTCATCTTCCTTCCCCATCTGCTAGGGCACCGCCACATCCATTCTGTGCACAGGCAAACGCGACTTTGAAGTTTGACACTCACTTGTTAATAATTCATTCCTTGGGTGGAGGCATCTGTAGGCCCAGAGTCCCAAGTTACAACGCTCTCAGGAGAAAGCCCTCCCTCATATTGGTAGATAATAAGACCTGAGCATGAATTAATTATCAGAGTGAAGTCCCAGGGGACTCAGAAGCCTCGGTGGCTAAGTTTTGACTGGGGGAGTCGGGGGATGGAATAAGGGGAGGGCCAGAGCCCGCAGGGCCTGATGCCAGGAGCTGGGGTGACATCTGGAGACCTCAAAGCCAAGGGAATGCTGAAGTGCTGAGGCACAGCTGGTCCCCGCTCACCTCTCCAGGGGCCATTTCCTCTCTCCATCCCAGCTCCAAGCAGCACACCAGCCCGCCACCTCCCTTCTGGCCACCCACGTCATCTGGTTTGAGTGCCATCACACTGCTTTGACTTACTCATCAGTGGGTGCCAGAGGCAACGAAGGAAAAAGGAAAAGGGGGCCCCCTCTGCTCTGGGCCTTCTGCTTGCAAAGAGGCTTTGGCTGCTCCGAGCAAGAAAGCCTGCTCTCAGGGCCCTCTGGCTGCTTCTCAATGTGTTTGCAACTTACTTCACCAACGGGCAGTTCTCCCTCTCTCCCCCAGTGTCTTGTCTGGATGGCAGGGATTCTTCTCCTCCCTGTGGCTACAGGCCTGGCAGCCGCTCACACCCCTCAGTTATAGCCATAGAAATTTACCCAGAGAACTTCCCTCCTCCCATGGTGTCTTGTTGCTTATTTTTAACATGTTTAATCAGAGTGTTCACACAGAAAAGCACACAGATTGTGAGTGAGAGCATCGTGGAAAGGGACATTGCTGCCCACCACAAGCCCCCTTCAGGCTTCCTGCTGTGCACAAACCATCTCCCCTAACGCCACGGCCACTGTGATTCTAACTCCGCACGTGGGTTTTGTATTTTATTCACACGGAACCATACTGTTTGTATGCTGTGACATCCAGCCTCTCTTGCTTAATATTGTGAGATTCAGCACTACCACAGCACATCGCCGGAGACAGTTTATTCATGTTGTCATAGAATAGCCCATCACACACATTTACTGCTGAGTCTTGATCGTTTCTGCTGCTACAGGCAGTCATTTCCACTTTGGGGTTATTATAGAATGTGCTAGAACATCTCATACATGTGTTCACAAAAACTGCTGCTTGCTGGGGCTAGGGTTGTGGCTCAGTGGTACAGCACTTGCCTCACATGCATGAAGCATGGGATTTGATCCTCAGCACACATGAAAATGAATAAATTAAATAAAGATATGGTGTCTATCTACAAATAAAAATATACCTAAAAAACTGCTGTTTGCTTTTATTTGCTGTATTTGGTTCAGTGCAAAAGATATTATAGGGAGAGGAAGAGAGGGGAGGAGCTAACTCTGGGCATTTGTGGGACACGTCCAATGTGCTGGGCCAACGTGGCCAATGCTACACACATAGACACCTGTGACCTTCTGCACTCCAGGGTGCCCAGGCCAGGGACAGAGAGTGTTCATCCCCCAGGCCAGCGTAGCAGGACTGAGGCTGGTAAGTAGCCCACCAGGTGGGACAACTCTGAAGTCTGGGATTGATTGGACAAAGCATGTCCCCAAAACACACACGTGTGGGACGGCCCTGGCAGCCCCACAACAGGAAACACCCCTGAACTGAGCAGGTATTCTTGGGTGTCCCGAGGAAGCCCCCACTGAGAGAGGAAGCAGATGCCGGGAACATTTGTGACAACTGAGAAATTTCCAACATTGGGATAAATGTCAACGCAACTGGGTTGAGCTTTTGGCTGCGCGGTGCTGGGGCACTGGCGTCGAAAAGCTGTTAAGAAGCCATCAGGTCATCGAGCTTTGGAAACACCTCCGATATCAAGAGTTGGCTGAGACGTCAGGTTTCCTTTTCCTTCCAACCGATAAGAGAAAAGCCCATTTCCTTCAGAGCGACACCAAGAAAACAAGAGATTATCAAGTTTGTTCCTTTTCTCAATCTGGTCGTAAAACACGTGCACACAGATGTACAAGAATTGGAAGTTAATCCTGCTGGGAAAGTTGGTTGGGGAGCACTAATCCCCTCCCAGGATTAGCCCAGCAGGCTGAGCACACAGATGCATCTGTCCACAAACATCTGCGGGTCACACAACACAGGGCTTCGGGACCCCCGACTGGGACAGACAGAGAGGGCAAAGGCTGCCTGTCCTCCTGCCTGCTCTAACCCTGGAGCTGAGAACAGCGTGGGTATGTAACCACACACTATGTGAAAGAATGCGTGCGAGATGGCTGGGGGCCTTTCTGGATCGTCCATGCGGGGTGGGTGTGTCTCTGTCTAGAAGGGACAGGGACGTCACTCAGGGCCCTGCCCTCACTCCATCTGAAGTCTGACTTTCAGGAGGCCTGTCAGGCCAGCTCCTGAGTTGCTTTTTATTTTAAGGGGACAAGGGACTTCACTGGGTCTGTCCACATGAGCAACTGTGGGCAGCCGTGAGGGAAACTGGGACTCTTCAGAAAGGAAGATGAGCAAGTTAAGGACGGCTGGTCTTCCCAGGGGCCCAGAAAGAAGACAGTTGTGTTCGTCCAGGATCTGCTCCCTAAGGTCCTTCTCGAGTGAATGTCAGGATCGGAATCGATTCCAGACTCCCTGCTTAGGTCCCCAGACTCTGGGGTCCACATTCTGGAGCAAGAGCCAGGGGCTGACTTTTCCCCTCCTGTCCACTCTGCAAGGGGTGTCATACCGAATAGCCAGGGCTGGCCTCAAGGTGGCCCTCCTGGGTCAGCGCCTTCTCCCCAGCTGCCTTGACTGGGCATTCCTACTCACTCATGTTAAGACCCCACCCCTCTGGCTCCCAAGTTCTGTGCTGAGGGTAGTTCTGAGCCCGGAGCCTGGGTCTCCTGTGTCCTGCTTCTCAGGGTAAAGAGGAAGCCACCCTCATATGGAACTGTGTTGTGCACTGCAAGGCAGGTGGGGACTAGATGCCCCCTTCCTTTGTGCAAAAGCCAGATGCCAGCTTCTGACACACTCCAGTGTGACTCAGCAGACCCTCCTCCTAGACACACAGCCGGTGGGTCTCTGAGCTGGTGCCAGAGCTCCCATCGACTCTGGAAGTCTGGCAAAGGCCAACCTCGTAACCACTGTTCCATCCTGCACCTGCTTCAAGCTAAGTCCTCCTTAAGGACAGCCAAGCTGTCCTTGTAGGTGGCCGTGACTAGCCTAGGTGAGGCAGTTGAGAAACCTGTCACAGAGGGGCCCAGGAGGGCAGGCTCTGGCCTCGCCCTGCTTTGAACCAGTCAGATTCTCCAGAAAGCAGGGTCCTGGAAAGGTCAGAGGTCTCCCCACTAGGGACAATGACTCACTGCAAAGATGAAGTGTCAGGAACAAGCCAAGCTCTCCACCTGGGCGGGAGTGTGAGCAACAGCCGCCAGGACCTGCTTCCTGCGTCAAGACTTGAAATGCAAATGATGGCTTTTATAGAAATTCAAGCTGAAACCTTCTGACTTTCTTCCAAGGACAGTGTTCAGAGGAGAGACACCAGCCCCCCTGGGCTGTCTGCAGGACTGGGTGTGGCTCTGCAGAAGCTCCACGGAGGCTTCCTCTGGGTTGTGTTCCAGCAATTGCGTCTGCTTCCCAAATCTGGCCTTGGGGCCACTGTGGCTCCCCAGGTCTCTCAGCCCAGTTGGAGCCAGCTGGCTGGCAGGCACCGACAGGAACAAGGCTCTGTAACACACACCACACAGGCATCCCCAGAGGGGAAGATGGTTCCCTGGGCTCTGCTGAGGCAGCACAGGGGCCTTGGCGTCTGCACCGCTGCATTCTCCCCATTTCAGAAAGAAAAACCCAGGGAGGGACCAAAAGCTACCTAAGACACTTAGCACCTGGTCAGAGGACAAGTCCCAGCAACTAGACCTCCATTCCCAGACTCTTCCCATCTGCACGGTGCCTTGTCCCGGCTAGACAGCAGCTTTCTGCAGGAAAACTAACGGCAGTGCCCTATTCAAGGCCAGTTCTCGGTGGTCACCAGCACGGAATGGCAGAGCCAGGTCCCTGAAGGGATGGAGAAAGAGGTGTTGCTGCCTGCAACCACCCAGGGACGTTCCTGGAAATGCCCATCCGCCCTCCAGCATGCTTCTCAGCTCCCCAAAGGTTTTCAAAGCTCAAGAGAGTCGAGGTCTGGGGAGAGGAATGAAGATCAGACGCCAAAGGTGATCTCCCTGGTGACAGCCATTTGTACCCTTCTCTAGGGGGTGCTCCCTGAGCTGCTCCGTTCTGAAAACAAAGCCCAGCCATCAGTGCTGCACCTAACCCCTGAGCCCCGAGAGGAGCCGAGGCGAGCCGACTCTGCCCTGAAGAGTGGTAGGATGCAGAGGAGCTGAGTGCGCCCCCCAGCTGCCAAGTTAAACAAGGCGGGTCCCAGGGTGGGGCCCACACCCAGGGGCTCAGAGCAGGCTGTGCAGCCTGCAGAGGAGCCCGGCTTCCCCAGGGGGCCGTGACGGCCAGCGGAAGCACAGGCAGAAGCCAGCACTGGCCCACAGCAGGAGAGCCAGGAGTGAACAGGACTGATGTTTAGCCAGAAAGTCTCAAGGTGGGTGTAAGGGGGCAAAAAGAAAGGCCCCGAAACACCATTCTGCATGAATCGGCCACTGCCATCCTCAGTGGCGGGCCTCTGTTGTGAAGTTGGGTAAATGAAAGTAGCAAGAGATGAAGAGTCATCCAGGGGCTCTCAGCTGAGCCGGACTGGAACCAAGACCCCTGGGTCCAAACCTCCAGTGACTCCACGAAGCCAGCTGCTGCTAGACATGGCCAAGGTAAGTGGGACAAAGAGAAGCGGGAGGGACAAATGTGGAATCTCAACGCCTGCTAGGGTCAGGCACGGCCCTCGGCAGAACTGTTCAGGGAGGCCCGTTACGGTCCCTCGATGCTCCTGTGCCAACCTGAGACTCTCCTGGCCCCGAGAAGAGGAGAAGATGTGGAGGTGGAAGTGTACCCAGATCTCCTAAGGAGCACGAACACGCTCCACGTACCTGGCCTTCTCCTGGTAGAGAGGGAGGCACTTGTGAGGCTGGACTTTCAGATCCTGAGCCAGTTTAGGTCAAGGGAACAGAGCCGCCCTGCTGGGGTCCACCGAGCGAGGAAGCCTGCTCACATGGCCCTGAATAAACAGAACAGGGCCACAGACGGGACCCCACCACCCTATCACTGAGTGATGTGTGACACTGAGTGACATGAGGTGCACGGGAGACTCCGTGGCCACTTCACACTCCGGAAGGACTTTCAGGAGGAGAAGCACTGAAAGAAGAGCCCCCTGGAGCAGTCTAGAGTCCAGAGGATGACCTGAGGCCAGAGGCAGGAACCAGTGCCGTGTAGGACCCAGTTCCCGGTCAGTGCCACCATCTTGATAGAATGACTGTCCTCTGGCGCTGGCTTCTCCTACCTACGCTCAGGCTCTGATGTGCAGGTGCAGAGGTGACAAAGGCCAATGATCCTCCAGAGGAGCCTCAAAGTAATCTCTGGCACACGTCCTTAGTACCGGACCCTCCACCTCTCCCTGCACTGCCTGGACATGTCCTGCCCAGCGTTTGGCACCCCACTTGATGGCCCGAGGCCTCCCTGACACCAGCATTGCATGTCTACCAGGTGACCTGGTCAAACACAGCTGCAGTGCGGCCACCGTGTCCACAGCCCTGCTGCTGCCTGAACTGCCAGGCCAGGCCCGGAGCTGTGCTGCCCTCAGCAGCGTCCCTGCCTCGGCTCACTCCTGCCCTCTGCAGTCTGTCCTCTTCCCACAGTGGACGGAGGAGCCGGCCTTGTGCTCCTCGGCTCCGGGCTCTGCCCATCACACCTGGCAGCAGCTCAGGCACCGGCTAGGCGACCCCGCAGTCTGCCGGCTGCCTCGCCAGAGCTCCCTTCCCACCTCCTCCTTCGCCCGGCCCCCGGGGCCTCCCTGTCCACCCGTGGCTTCGGTGACAGCGGTGCTTCCTTTCGGGGCCTATGCACTTGCTAGTGTGGCTTCCCCAAATATTCCCACCCTCTCCCCCGTTCACATTTCTCTCCCAGGTCCAGCTCACAAAGGCGCCGCCCACCCGGCTGCCTCACGCACCGCACACTCACGTGGCTTCCACTTCCTTTGCTCTCCTTATAACTCCCAGGCCAAGACACGGGTGGATGTGTAATGACCTCGTATGCCGCCCCAACTAGCCCCTCTGAGGGGCCTGGCAAAATGTTTTTTTGTTGTTGTTGTTAACTTCTGTGCCCTCAGGGCCTAGAATAGTGTTAGGCATAGGGT